TCGTTAACCGTTAACGTCTGTGGGGAACTGAGTGTTGACAGCTTAAAAGCCCTTGGAGGTTTTTTCATGAAAAGTTCGCCATTATCTGGTCTCCACTTGAGTGTCCGAGGTAAACTAAGCAATGATGTTATGGATTGTCTGGTTGACTATTTTCTGACTAACAATTCATTGTCCTCACACAGTATTATTGACCTTTGCGGTGAAATCACAAGCTACGGAGAAACTGCACTTCAAAAGTTAGTTCAAGGGAGTCCAGAGCATTCTATTTCAGTGCACTTGAATGGTGTCAGTAAGGACCGCTATTTAAGTGGTTTTGATACTCTCACTAATTTTTCTCCACCCTCAGCCTCATTATTAGCTGACGGGAAGACTGCAACACACGATGAAGTTATTGCACTATTAAGCTGTGCGTCATCAACCACGTTCAACCTCACTGTTAACGACCACGCTGATATGCCAGGGGAGTGGGCCAGAGGTGTGGCTAAGGGCTTGGCTAACAGCAGATCCCTCACTACATTTAGTCTCACACTTAACAATCTTACTGATAAGGGAGCAGAGTGGGCCTTCTATATGAGTGAGGGACTGCCGAAGTGCGCATCGTTAACGACATTCAGCATCACAGTTAACAATCACATTGACGAGAGAGCAGATTGGGCCGTCTATATGAGTGAGGGACTGCCGTATTGCGCATCATTAACGACATTCAGTCTCACAGTTAACAATCACACTGACGAGGGAGCAAACTGGGCCTGCTATATAAGTGAAGGACTGCCGCATTGCGCATCATTAACGACATTCAGTCTCACAGTTAACAATCACACTGACGAGGGAGCAAACTGGGCCTGCTATATGAGTGAAGGACTGCCGCATTGCGCATCATTAACGACATTCAGTCTCACAGTTAACAATCACACTGACGAGGGAGCAAACTGGGCCCGCTATATGAGTGAAGGACTGCCGCATGGCGCCTCATTAACGACATTCAGCCTCATAGTTAACAATCACACTGACGAGGGAGCAAACTGGGCCTGCTATATGGGTGGGGGACTGCCGTATTCCGCATCATTAACGACATTCATTCTCACAGTTAACAATCACACTGACGAGGGAGCAAACTGGGCCCGCTATATGAGTGGGGGACTGCCGAAGTGCGCATCGTTAACGACATTCAGTCTCACAGTTAACAATCACACTGACAAGAGAGCATACTGGGCCGACTATATGAGTGTGGGACTGCCGAAGTGCGCATCATTAACGACGTTCAGTCTCACAGTTAACAATTACGCTGACGCGATGGAATCTTGGGCCGAGGGTATTAGTGAGGGCTTGGCGAACAGCAGTTCATTAGCCACATTTAGTCTCACAGTAAACAATCATGCTGACATGATGGGAAACTGGGTGAGAGATATAAGTAATGGATTACAAAAAAACGGTTCATTAACAACGATAAGAGTAGCATTCAGCTTGTACGGTGTGCACAAAATTCACTAAGAGCTCGTCCAGTCTTCCAATTCTCTGCTTTGTCAAATGGGTGTATGAAACTTCCAAGAGCTAGAAATTATCGCTGAAGGATATGGTCGCAGTAGAAGTTCACTGAAATTCCTCAACTTGAAGCAAGAATTATTACTGCGCTCGTGTTGCTGGAGAAATTTATTTTCTCATGTATTAATGATGTCATTTGTAGTTGATATTGAAAGTTGGTTTGCACTTATTAGCCGTGATAATTTTTTACCCTTCGGCACAACCTACGACAGTTTGCCAAATTTTCGAACCATGAGTATACATTAATCTATAGCTGAAAAACTGTATTTATTTTTACCAAAAGGACAAGAACATTTGTTGGTAAACACTAGTAAGAAACACGGTCCCACGCGCCTTCTTGCGCGAGGAGCACATACGATATTAGTTAGCCGGAAACGAACTTATTCAACCGATGCATTGAAAACATCTTGTATGCCTGCACGAGGCAAGCGGAGAAATGAAACCGAAGTGC